TCCATTATTTCTTATGGGGAAAATTAACTCGACTACCGATAATTTCGATTAACGATGAGCTCTCAGGAACGGATTAATATCATTGGTCGAGGGTCCACTGTACTGCTAAGGGGTGGCTAATTGCTGAGAAGTGAACTCCATTATTTATGCTCCGATTTCTTTCATTTTTTTTGTGTACATTAAGAAGCATCTTTCCATCATATGTTGCCCAAGTTTCAATAAAATAGTCCAACAAACAAATGAGATACAATTCCCTAGATCAAAAGCAAGAACCCCTCACCAGCGTCAAGGAACCTACCTTGAGGTCTGCTCGCTTATGGAAATTTTGGTCACGTATGGAAGCAAAAAATTGACCCATTGACTGCTTGTATTTGGAAAAACTCACACATGGATGAGCTCAGAAGTTGAGGTTCCACTGTACTAATAATACTAACAACAATACTATACTAATAATGCCAATACTCAGCTTCTACAAGCCTGAACACTGTACTTTGTGTGTGTGTGTGTGTGTGTGTGTGTGTGTTTATAGTCCTTAGTATACCCACGTATATCAATATACTAACAACATACTAATAGTACTATCCCTAACAATAGTAATACCAATAATACTAATATCAATATATGTGCTTGATAACTATCAATATATGTACTTGATAACTATAACAAAACACACAACCATAATACGAGAAAGAGATCACTCTTCGATATTCCCCATGTTCGCCCCTTCCTATGCAAAAATGCTATGCATGTAAAAGGCCCAAGACCTAGAATTCATTGGCAGAACAAACTAAAGATCCCCTGTCTGCAAATCAGTTTAAGGCCCAAATAAGAAATCACCTCATCACCCAAAATTAATCAAACAAACCATACCTAACCACTACCAGTTTCTCAAAAGCTACTCATATTGTGCTGATGAATGCTCAACCACTTACTACTTTGAAATTAAGATGTCTGTTCTTTTCACTGTTTTAAATAGTAGTAGACTGTAATACAGTACATCATAATGTAAATTGTTCCATTGTAATACCAAATTTCATTGTTTTAAACAGTACTAAACTGTGATACATCACACTGTAAATTGTTTTAAATTGTTACATTGTCATACAATAATCTTTATTACTAATTCAATAGTGTAAAAAGTCTCTGTTAGACTTATCAGAACCATGTAGCATCACCTGATTTAATATTAAATTCTCCTGTACTCACTCTAACTCATCTAATGACCATATGAATTATGTATTATTGCCTTACTATTCTTAAGTTAATCTTCAAGTTTGCTCGAAATGCTCAGCATACAGAGGGGCTTTTGCCATGTACACTCAACTGTTATATTCCTCTGTACAACCACGTAATTTGTCAAAATAAAAAATCTAATCTAATCTACTAATAATACCAATAATACTAATATCAATATACTAATAATACTAATATCAATATACGTACTAATAATACCAATAATACTAATATCAATATACTAATAATACCAATAATACAGTGGACCCCCGCTTAACGACCGCCTCCCAATGCGACCAATTATGTAAGTGTATTTATGTAAGTGCGTTTGTACGTGTATGTTTGGGGGTCTAAAATGGACTAATCTACTTCACAATATTCCTTATGGGAACAAATTCGGTCAGTACTGGTACCTGAACATACTTCTGGAATGAAAAAAGATCGTTAATCGGGGGTCCACTGTACTAATATCAGTGTACTAATAATACTAACATGTGTACAAGTCTTTCGTTCACCCACATATGTACTACCTTTATACTACATGTGTACCCAATAACTTGGTTTGCCAACTGCATTGTCTTTGTGTGCTAAAATCTTATCTCTTAAAATTGTGTACATGTGTACCCAATAACTTGGTTTGCCAATTGCACTGTCTTTGTGTGCTAAAATCTTATCTCTTAAAATTGTTGCCAGGTCTGTAGTCCTATTGGTCTACATTTATTCCTGCATGCGCATGCCTCCTACCAAGGTCATCTTTTCCTTGCTCCTGCTATGTGCTGTGTGTATGATAATCACTCCAGAGCAGGGTTTGTGACAGCCACTTACCAGTGATCATAGGGCCAGCTCTATCACTCAAACGTCCCCGTTAACCACAAACATAGGTGATTTGTATATTACTCCTCAGAGGTGTCATCCATCCCAATGCTTGCTGTACAATGACTCTCCTACTCCATGCCCTTCCACCTCTGTCCTCTTCAATTATTCTATTCTCATTGCCCATTTGAGTCCTTATTTACCACACTTATCACTTGTATATTGCTACTTTGCATATGTATGTATGTATGCATGTATGTATGTGTATGTGTGTGTGTATGTGTGTGTATGTGTGTGTGTGTGTGTGTGTGTGTGTGTGTGTGTGTGGTGTGTGTGTGTGTGTGTGTGTGTGTGTGTGTGTGTGTGTGTGTGTGTGTGTGTGTGTGTGTGTGTGTGCGCGTGTGTGTGTGCATGTGCGTGTGTATAGGGAGTTCCCATTACCATACAAGTTTAATATAATTTTAACCAGAAATGTGGATTTTTAAATTACAATAGTCTACCTGGAGTTTACCTGGAGAGAGTTCCGGGGGTCAACGCCCCCGCGGCCCGGTCTGTGACCAGGCCTCCTGGTGGATCAGAGCCTGATCAACCAGGCTGTTACTGCTGGCTGCACGCAAACCAACGTACGAGCCACAGCCCGGCTGATCAGGAACCGACTTTAGGTGCTTGTCCAGTGCCAGCTTGAAGACTGCCAGGGGTCTGTTGGTAATCCCCCTTATATATGCTGGGAGGCAGTTGAACAGTCTCAGGCCCCTGACACTTATTGTATGGTCTCTTAACGTGCTAGTGACACCCCTGCTAGTGACACCCCCTTGGTTGTTTGGAATCACACATAAATTTTTTTTTATCACATCAGCCACATCTCGCCAAGGTAGGGTGACCCAAAAAACAGGAAACATTCACCTTCAATCATTTAACAGCTGTTTTACCAGAAATGAAGAGACATCACAATTTAAATGACTCTTCAAACAACATCTCGATTCTCCTCCAGGGTGTAAGGATTGTATTTCCTACCTCCGTCTGACTAACCAGTTTTCCTGAAACACGTTTAACAGGATGAGCCTGTCTCCAACCAAGGCTCTGCCCACATAACAGTATATTGGATAATTGTACATGCACTGTATATATAAAATGTGGACAAGTATCATCCCCAGTTATTATAATGCTCTTCAATAAAGCACTTTAATATCAACCCTTCCAAACTTTCTCAAAAGAGCTATCTATGATCTCTACAGAACACCTCAAACACAATAAAGTACCAATATCAAACTGAGAGTAATCTACAAGAAACTCTTACATATCTTAGTACAACATACTTAATCCTTTCCAGTATGAATTTAGACCCAAAATAACACATTTTGACTGTTGAAAATATGCATTTTGCATAGGGTCTGTAAAGTCTTACCAGTCGCTTGAATGTGTGACCTTTACATTGCATTTTTTCCTCGATATTAAACTCAAACCCTTTCACTGTCGGTGTCATACAGTACAGCTTACAAGTCAGTGTTGGTGCCATATGAATATGCCAAAATTCTAGCAGGAGAAAACTGGGAGACCTACATGTGAGAGAATGGGTCTGCACGGTCACTGTGTGCAGTATAAAAAAAATCCTGCAGCACGCAGTGCATAATGAGAAAAAAAAAACTCTGACTGTGTTTTTGGCTTAAAATATCAACTTTGAAATCTATTTTCATATGATTTTGATTGGTTTCACGATGAAAAGTACCTTGAAATTGAGCTCAAAGTAGCAGAAATGTTTGATTTTTGCCGATGTTCAAGAGTAAACAAATGATCTCACCATCCAATATGTGTCCAACTGACCAGTCTAATACGCAGTCATGAATGGGTTGACATCATTTATAGAATCATTACAATAATGCAGTATGTATTCTGCATAACAGAAAGTCTTCTACTTTCTGTGTGAATAAAAATTCAAAATGGAAAGCAAGAATAATATAAGAGGGGCCTGGAGATGTGACTAATGAACAGAAAAAATGTTATTTTAGTGTCAGGAATGTCTGCACTGTTTCTTCTGGACCCTATTTTGAAATTGGCATCTTTTGAAATTTGTGTGAAATTGGCCAAATTGCCAATTTCTGACCACTTTACTGAGTAGTTGAAATCGGTAACTGGGCGGTTTCTTGTACTCAATCGACAGAACCAATGGAGTTCTAGCGAAATAGCTATGAGTTTGGTCAACTGGAACAGTGGAATTGGCCGAAAATAGGGCTCAAAGTGGGCAAAATTGCTGATGTGTATGTATCGCCGAGACCGCTAACTTCGCAAGAGCATAATTCCGTAAGTTTTCCATCAAATTTCGTACTTTTGGTATCATTACCATCGGGAAAAGATTCTCTATTGTTTCATAAGAAAAAATATATAGTTTTCTTTTAAATTCTTCGACACTGAGAGCAAGTTTATGAGCAGGGGTCTCGAGAGTGAAAAAGTTAATTTAAACACATCAGTATGTCATACAAGGAGAGCAAATCAGTACCTGTAATTCATGTTAGTGATTATGATAATACATGTAGACACACACATGTAAAGGCTACATAAAATGATAATCCCCCAACAGCAATGTAAATATAATGTAAATGGTATACAAGTATATTGTACATACAAATTGCAAGTTAAGAATGTAAACAGGCATTGATAAGTGTTTGTTTTTATTTGTTTAGTAATTTCTTTGTTTCCCACAGAAGCTTTTATGGTTCTCTACTAGAATTTGTTGTATACCATGACAACTTATACCCCAAAATGTTTGGAATGAGCACTGTGTTGTACTTCTAAAACTATAATGAGCAATCCCAATAATGTCACAGAATAATCCCAGTAATGTCACAGAATTATACTCACACAAATATGTGTATGCACAACAATACTGATAATTATGACTAAAAGGTAGTCATGTGTAAAAAGAATACCTATTTACATAAACATACAAAGCAACTTACCCTCTACAGGGATCCAAAACAAGTGCACGAGGTCGGTCTACTTGAATGATCATAACAATGTGTGAACCATCTGCATTCATGGCATAAATACTGTTATTACCAGAATCAGTCCAATAAATCTTTTTGGATGTCCAGTCATAGGCTACACCTTCAGGATTAATACCAACAGCCAAGATAGTTGTGACATCATCTACAGATGGCGATGAACTGGGAATCTTAGCAATTTTTGTGTCTGGTCTAATCTGAGTGAACACAATTTGCTTGCCCTTGTAATCAAAATCAATGCCAACAACATTGGTCAATCCCTTAACTGTTTCAAATGGCACAACACTGTGTTTGGGGGTCAGAGACAGACTGCGGATTTCTGCTCTAGTAGCAAAGATAAGGAACTCCTTGGAATCTTCACAACTTCGTTTGTCCTCAGCCAACACACCAGTAGCACAGGAACACCGGTATCTAGCATCAACTGGTTGGTCAGCGGGTAAAGAGAAACAGAGTTGAGCACAGCCTCCATTTCCTAATCTTGTACAAGGTGTATCAGCCTGAAAATAGAAATGAAAAAAATACTGTTAGATTGTACTGCACAAGACTAATCATTCAGGTCAATCACTGCCCTTCAAGAGGGGTGTGTGGGAGCTGGTGAGAAACTTTAGATTCAAGGAACTAGAGCTATCTTTCCTTCCTTGGTTTGAACATGATTATCTCTCATTCCCCAGGAGCTGTATGATCCGTAAGTGTTTACTCTTACCCCACAATTTTAACAATTCCAAAAGTAGCACAGTACAGTGAAACCTCTTACATGGTGTCATCCCATAATGCAAATCTGGGTAAAAATGCAACTAATCTGATGTAGCACACTAAAAACTCTTGACAGTATGAGTCATAAGCCATCAAAAAATCATCATAGCATTAAAATATGTAGCAGTAATGTTAAATGATCAGTTATGGAAGGAGAAAAGAGAATATGAATGTGTAAATTCAAGAATTATGTGGATTAAAGTAAAGGTTGGATGCGAAAAGTGGGTCATAATAAGCGTGTATGCACCTGGAGAAGAGAGGAATGTAGAGGAGAGAGAGAGATTTTGGGAGATGTTAAGTGAATGTATAGGAGCCTTTGAACCAAGTGAGAGAGTAATTGTGGTAGGGGACCTGAATGCTAAAGTAGTAGAAACTTTTAGAGAGGGTGTGGTAGGTAAGTTTGGGGTGCCAGGTTAAATGATAAAAGGGAGCCCTTTGACTGAACTTTGTATAGAAAGGGGTTTAGTTATAGGGAATACATTTTTTAAGAAAAAGAGGATAAATAAGTATACAAGATATGATGTAGGGCGAAATGACAGTAGTTTGTTGGATTATGTTTTGGTAATAAAAGACTGTTGAGTAGACTTCAGGATGTACATGTTTAAAAGAGGGGCCACAGATATATCAGATCACTTTCTAGTTGTAGCTACACTGAGAGTAAAAGGTAGATGGGATACAAGGAGAATAGAACACAGGGAAGAGAGAGGTGAAGGTTTAATAAACTAAAAGAGGAGGCAGTTGGGGGTAAGATATAAACAGCTATTGGGGGATAGATGGCTAATGAGAGCATAGGCAATGGGGTCGAAGAGGTAGGGGGTAGGTTTTAAAAAAATGTAGTGTTAGAGTGTTCAGCAGAAGTTTGTGGTTACAGGAAAGTGGGTGCGGGGGGGAAGAGGAGCGATTGGTGGAATGATGAGTAAAGAGAGTAGTAAGGGAGAAAAAGTTAGCATATGAGAAGTTTTTTACAAAGTAGAAGTGATGAAAGGGAGGGAAGATATATGGAAAAAAGAGAGGGGTTAAGAGAGTGGTGAAGCAATGTAAAAAGAGAGCAAATGAGAGAGGGTGAGATGTTATCAACAAATTTTGTTGAAAATAAGAAAAAGTTTTGGAGTGAGATTTAAAAAGTTAAGGAAGCCTAGAGAACAAATGGATTTGTCAGTTAAAAACAGGAGAGAGAGTTATTTAAAAGGAGATTGAGGTATTGGAAGATGGAGGGAATATTTTGGGAATTGTTAAATGTTGATGAAGATAGGGAAGCTGTGATTTTGTGTATAGGGCAAGGAGGAATAACATCTTGCAGGAGTGAGGAAGAGCCAGTTTTTGAGTGTGGAGGGAAATTCATGAGGCAGTAGGGAAAATGAAAGGGGTAAGGCAGCCGGGATTGATGGGATAAAGATAGAAATGTTAAAAACAGGGGGGGATATAGTTTTGGGTGGTTGGTGCAATTATTTAATAAATGTATGGAAGAGGGGAAGGTACCTAGGGATGGCAGAGACATGCATAGTTCCTTTTTATAAAGGCAAAGGGGATAAAAGAGAGTGCAAAAATTATAGGGGATAAGTCTGTTAGTATAAACCCGGTAAAGTGTATGGTAGAGTTTTTATTGAAAGAATTAAGAGTAAGACGAGAATAGGATAGCAGATAAACAAGGAGGCTTTAGGAAAGGTAGGGGTGTGTGGACCAGGTGTTTACAGTGAAACATATAAGTGAACAGTAAATTTTGATAAGCTAAAGAGGTCTTTAATGGCATTTAGGATTTGGAAAGGCGTATGACAGGGGGGATAGGGGGGCAATGTGGCAGATGTTGCAGGTGTATGGTGTAGGAGGTAGGTTAAATGAAAGCAGTGAAAAAGTTTTTACGAGGATAGTGAGGCTCAAGTTAGAGTATGTAGGAAAGAGGGAAATTAAAATTTCCCAGTAAAAGTAGGCCTTAGACAAGGATGTGTGATGTCACCGTGGTTGTTTAATATATTTATAGATGGGGTTGTAAGAGAAGTGAATGCGAGGGTCTTGGCAAGAGGCGTGGAGTTAAAAGATAAAGAATCACACACAAAGTGGGAGTTGTCACAGTTGCTCTTTACTGATGACACTGTGCTCTTGGGAGATTCTGAAGAGAAGTTGCAGAGATTGGTGGATGAATTTGGTAGGGTGTGCAAAAGAAGAAAATTAAAGGTGAATACAGGAAAGAGTAAGGTTATGAGGATAACAAAAAGATTAGGTGATGAAAGATTGGATATCAGATTGGAGGGAGAGAGTATGGAGGAGGTGAATGTATTCAGATAGTTGGGAGTGGACGTGTCAGCGGATGGGTCTATGAAAGATGAAGTGAATCATAGAACTGATGAGGGGAAAAGGGTGAGTGGTGCACTTAGGAGTCTGTGGAGACAAAGAACTTTGTCCTTGGAGGCAAAGAGGGGAATGTATGAGAGTATAGTTTTTACCAACGCTCTTATATGGGTGTGAAGCATGGGTGATGAATGTTGCAGCGAGGAGAAGGCTGGAGGCAGTGGAGATGTCATGTCTGAGGGCAATGTGTGGTGTGAATATAATGCAGAGAATTCGTAGTTTGGAAGTTAGGAGGAGGTGCGGGATTACCAAAACTGTTGTCCAGAGGCTGAGGAAGGGTTGTTGAGGTGGTTCGGACATGTAGAGAGAATGGAGCAAAACAGAATGACTTCAAGAGTGTATCAGTCTGTATGGAAGGAAGGCGGGGTGGGGGTCGGCCTAGGAAAGGTTGGAGGGAGGGGGTAAGGAGGTTTTGTGTGCGAGGGGCTTGGACTTCCAGCAGGCATGCGTGAGCGTGTTTGATAGGAGTGAATGGAGACAAATGGTTTTTAATACTTGACGTGCTGTTGGAGTGTGAGCAAAGTAACATTTATGAAGGGGTTCAGGGAAACCGGCAGGCCGGACTTGAGTCCTGGAGATGGGAAGTACAGTGCCTGCACTCTGAAGGAGGGGTGTAAATGTTGCAGTTTAAAAACTGTAGTGTAAAGCACCCTTCTGGCAAGACAGTGATGGAGTGAATGATGGTGAAAGTTTTTCTTTTTCGGGCCACCCTGCCTTGGTGGGAATCGGCCAGTGTGATAATAAAAAATAAAAAATGTACAACTTGGGCAGCATGTGCCATGGAGCTTTTCCAGTCTGACCCAAGTTGGGCCTAAAGCATAGCTTTCCCACTCCATCAGTGCTTACAGTTGCATCACATGCTATATGCATTCTGTGTTTATCAAAGGATTCTGAATATTTTCATCACCTCACCTCATCTTTGGATATAACCAAGGGCACCCAAGAAAAATACTGGTGATGTTTGAGGTGCCAAGAATATATGTGATTCTTTGATATTTTCTGAAAAGCATGGAAATTTTGGATATGCATTAAGGCGGTGCACATGTGATACTGACTGCCTGAACTTTGGGTCTGAGAAAATCCACTATCTGTACAAGCTGAAACAATGAGAAGAAAATATGACTATATGCAATAATAAGACCCTGTGAAGTAAGTAGTTCAGATTGTGACCTGCTGAAAAGAGTGTCAAAGAGATCAACACAGTCAAATGTCATAGAAAAGTTACTGAATGTGTGAATAAATGAGAAGACAAAGAAAGTGGCCCCACATAGTACTTATATAATAAGACACAAAGCCCTATCCTACTATAAAGCCATGTGAAAAAGGAAAGCCTTCATAGTTTGATGGCTTGACTGCTGCAAACAGTGAAATCAGCTTCTCAACATAAAGTTTAGTAATGAGTATGTCAGCTGATCATGCAAGATCACAACCCCTCTGATCAGACACACATCAAGACCACAATCCAGGAGAGCAGCCCACATCTACTCACAAAACAGAGAAGGAAGCCCTACATGATGAGTAGAGGGTTCCTCCTCCTTCCACCACAAAGATCACAGTATAAGCCAGGTTGACAAGGATGCATCAAACCCAAAACAGGTAAAGCAGGCCTAGCTCCTTACAGCTGAGATCCAGGCAAAAACTCACCAGACTTGAGATAAGAGGCTCTCAACTGGGAAAGTATGGAATGCACCAGTGCAAGGCATTCTTCCTAGGTGATGCACAGGATTTAACAATCACAGCAGGAAAGGGCTGACCAAGGAGTATATCTGGCACCCATCCTCCAGCCTTGAATGCTACAAGGCTGCATACAGGCAGAGCATGGTCTGCCATTCCTATCCCTTCTCCAGTACAGCATAAGAGCACCCTAACTCGCAAACGGTCCAAATGTATATATACGTTTTTTCAACATTTGATAGTATGTAAAAAAGTAGATCTTTTTTTTTTTTCATTTGAAAACGTGTAAAAAACTTTGATCTACACTTTTTTTTGTTATATTTGAAAATATGTAAAAAACATAAATCTACTTGTGGAGCACTACGCATGTGAACGTAGATCTGCTTGGACTGTTTACGGGTTAAACAGGTCTAGTGTATGTGAAGCAACCACTTCAAACTTCTTCAGATGGGAGGCCCACATCAAGCACCAATCAAAGATTATTCCATATAATGCACTGTAACTTGCTGCTCTTAGGAAAGGACCACATCATGGAATACCACATGGGAAACAGGTTGTGTCACCCAGGAATGGCCAAAATGAACAGCCACATCTTCTGGGTGGAAGACCAGCAGTAGTTAGTAGTCCACTCCTTGAAACTGTCTACCAAGGCCAGTGACAGGCCACCTAGGAATAAATGCTGAACAGTAAACTGCACATCATCCACATTCAAAGAGGACTTGAC